CTCTCTCTCTCTCTCTCTCTCTCTCTCACTTCCCCCACTGTCTCAATTCAAATTGAAATTAATTATGTTTTTGTTTGAACAGGTGTGACCAGGGCAGTGACGTACGTGTCCCAGATGGTTATATGAAGGTAAAATGTACATTTTGTAACTATTATCAGAGACAGTATACAATTAGACATGATATGAAAACACAAGATCCATGCGTTCTGTCTATCCGTCCGTCAGCCTATCTCCCCCCCCCCACTTGTTTGCTCTCTCTTTCTCCCTTTCTCTCCCTCTCTCTCTCCCTCTCTTGCTCGCTCGTTCTTTCTGTGCCCCTTCTCTGTCTTTCCCTCTCCACACACTCCCCTTCTTATTCTCTCTCTCTATCTAGCTTACATTTATGTAAGTATGAGTCTAACGCGTTAATTGTGGTTAATATGGTATTGTAATGCCATCTATCGGCAGCAAAAATTACACATTAAACGCTTACCATTTATTTCACTACATGTCTGCGCATCATCTGCATAATAGTCATATAATAAATAATTATTCATGAACTTGTTACTATAGGTAGCGGGCACGAAATTTGCAAAAGTAGTATTAACAGTAACGCATGTGTTAGCAAGCATAAATGCAACACGTTTCAAGTCATGTAAAAATCATCATGGCACTGTATTTGCAGCTGCCATTGCCAGAACGTGTGGCGCGTTTCTTCGTCTCTAAAAGTCTGAAATCAGCAGTTCATCGGTGAGGGCGCCACCTTCCACATGGTGCAGTATACAGTAGCTGCCATAACTGGTAAATGCTTCATGCTGTCTCTCTCTCTCTCTCTCTCTCTCTCTCTCTCTCTCTCTCTCTATCTCTCTCTCTCTCTCACACTCTTTCTGTCCCTCTCTCACACACTCTGTCCCTTTCATACTTCCCCTTCTTTCTCACTCTCCTTCTATCTCCCATGTTAGCACAAAATTCGCAAAAGTAATATTAACTGTAATGCATATGCTAGCTAGCAAGCATAAATAAAACACTTTTAAAAATCATATAAGATTTATCATGACACTGTATTTGCAGGTACCACTGCCAGAAAATGAGACGCATTTCTTCGTCTCTAAACGTCTTAAATCAGCAGTTCATCGGTGAGGGCGCCACCTTCCACATGGGGCAGTACACGGCCGCTGTCATGTCAAGGAAAGTCATACAGTAGCTCCCATAACTGGTAAATGCTACAATGTATGTCTGTCTCGTCCTCTCTCTCTCTCTCTCTCTCTCTCTCTCTCTCTCTCTCTCTCTCTCTCTCTCTCTCTCGTTATCTAGCTCCCTCTCTCTCATTCTCTCTCAGAGATGAGAGGGAAGCTAGATTAACGTGAGAGAGCCAGGAGCTAGCAGTAAAGAGAGAGAAGGCTGAGAGAGAGGGAGCTACGAATAACGAAAGAGCACGAGAGAGACTGAGAGAGAGAAAGAGCGAGAGAGACCGAGAGAGATAGGGCGGAGAGAGAGAGGAGGAGAGAGAAGAGAGACGAGAGAGAGAGACGAGCAGAGAGAGAGAGAGAGAGAGAGCAGACGGGGCTAGATATACGAGAGCGAGAGCAGAAAGAGAGAGAGAGATAAGCAGAATGAGAGAGAATGCTGAGAGAGCAGAAGTAGATAACCGAGAAGCAGAGAGGGAGAGAGCAAAAGTACGTGGACAGCAAAGAGAGCAGACATACATTGCCAGCATTTACCAGTTTATGGCAAGATCTACTGTCATGACGTTTTCGCTTTACATGTACAGGCGAACGGTGTACTGCCCCATGTTGCCAAGGATGGCGCCCCTCACGATGAACTGCCTTGATTTCAAGGACGTTCTAGAGAGACGAAGAAATTGCGTCTTCCATTTTCTGGCAGTGCGTCCTGCAAATACAGTGTCCATGATAAATCTTATATGATTTTTAAAAGTGATTTATTTATGCTTGCCTAGCTAGCATGTGTGCATTACAGTTAAATCATTACTTTTGCAAATTTCATGCCTAACATGGGAGATAGAAGGAGAGTGAGATAGAAAACGAAAGGGAAATTAATGAAAAGGACAGAGTGTGTGAGCGAGAGGGACCAGCAAGACGAGAGAGGAAGAGAGAAGAGAGAGAGAGAAGAGAGAGAGAGAGAGGTGAGACGAGAGCCAGATAGAGAGGAGGAAGAGACAGCATAACGGCATTTACACCAGTAGCATGGCAGCTACTAGCTGGTATACTCTTCCTTGCCATGAAGCCGACGGTGTATTGCACCATGTGGAAGGTGGCTCCTCACCGCATGAATAGATAGATTAGATAGATAGATAGAGTAGTAGATACGATAAATAGTCATAGATAGATAGATAGATAGATAGATAGATAGGATAGCATAGATAGCATAGATAGATAGATAGATAGGATAGATAGATAGATGATAGATAGATAGCAGTAGCAGATAGATAGATACGATAGATAGATAGATAGATAGAGACGAGGAGCAGGAAAAGAATCGACATAAATAGATGATAGATTATGATAGAGCAGAGGGAGGAGAGAGAGAGAGGGACAGAGATAGATAATAGTATGAAGAATAGATAGATAGATAGAATAAATAGATAATAGATAGATAGATAGATAGCATTAGATAGATAGATGATAGCATAGATAGATAGATAGATTAGATAGATAGAGTAGATAGATAGACGAGAGTAGAGAGAGAGAGGACAGCAGAGAGAGAGACGAGAGACGAGAGGAACGAGGAAGAGATAGATATATAGACTAGATAGATAGATAGAAGTATGATAGCTAGGCTAGATATGATATGATAGATAGATTAGATTAGATAGATAGATAGATAGATAGAATAGAAGCGAGATAGGATAGAGCGGAGAAAGAGGGAGAGAGAGAGAGAAGAGAAGAGTAGAGAATAAAAGGAGAGAGACAGGGAGAGAGGCAGACATACCTACCGACAGATGGACAAAATGGACGGCCAACAGATATACTGCATTGGTGTCTAAAGAGAGAGGAAGAGCATAGATATAGATATAGAAATATAGATACGATAGATAGATAGATAGATAGTAGAATAGATAGATAGATAGATAGATAGGAATAGATTAGATAGATAGATACATGATAGCATAGATAGAATAGATAGAGTAGATAATAGCATAGATAGATATGTATAGAAGAAGATAAATAGATAAATAGGATTAAATAGATAAATATATAAATAGATAGATAGATTAGGAGGGAGAGAGAGAGACCGAGAGGAAGACGATAAGGACGAGAGCTAAGAACGAGAGCGAGATATCGAGCAGGAGCAGAGAGAGAGAGGAGATAGGGCGGAGACGAGAGAGAGAGAGAGAGAGCAGATGCAGAGAGAGATCGAAACGCAGGCAGAAGACGAGAGAATGGAGGACGTAGGACAGATAACGAGAAGAGAGATATNATCTTATATGAAAACAGTATAGGATCTATGTATTCTGTCTGTACGTCCCTCTGCCTATCTCCACCCCCCCCACCTTGCTCTTGCTTTCTCTCGCTTTCCCTCTCTATCTCTCTGTCTCTCTCTATCTTTTCCTCTTTCTATATATTTCTTACTCCCTTCTGGTTTTCACATCTCCTCTCTCCATTTCTTTCTATTTCTTATGCATGCTCTAATTTTCCCTCTCTCCCTTTCTCTCCTCCCTCTCTCTTGCTCGCATTTTCTTTCTCTGTCCGTTCTCTGTCTTTTCCTCTCCACACACTCCCCTTCTTCTCCCTCTCTCGCTCTCTCTATCTATCTGTCTCTTTCTCGCTCTCTCTATCTATCTGTCTCTCTCTCGCTCGCTCTCTCTCTCTCGTTATCTAGCTCTCTCTTTCTCTTATTCTCTCTCATTCTCGCTCGTGTGAGAGAGGATTTAGATACTCTCGCATCGATCCGACGACGGCTAATGTACTCTAGATCTACGATCGTATGACGAGAGAGCCTATCTCGATCTCAGAGTTACGAATACTATAGTCAGAGAGCTAGTACTCGATTCAGATAGAGAGAGATGCTAGATAGATAGATAGACGAGGAGAACGCGAGAGAGTACGAGAGAGCAGAGAGAGAGAGGGAGAGGGAGGAAGTAGAGAGAGTGAGAGGGTAGGTACGAGGAGGAAGGAGTAGAGGAGTTAACGGACTCAACGAAGCAAAGCATGCTCACTCCACCCGGAGAAAGAGAGAGTTCGTGACCGTCTTGTAGAGTCAGCTTGAGTAAGAAGGTAGGAGAGTTAGGGAGAGGATAATGAGAGAGAAACGGCGCTATCATAGACAGGACACAATCATGTGAGACTGACTCTACATTTAGGCGAGCTACTGACTTTACTTTGGTATCAACCATGCACTGAAAGAATGAGCAGAAGGCAGAAAATGTCGCACTGAGGAGAGAGAGATGACGAAGAAGGGAGAGAGTACGAGCAGCCCCATTAGAGAGAGCAAGAGAGAGAAAAGAGAGCAGATGAGAATGAGAGAGTAATGGAAGAGAGAGCGAGAGAGAGCTAAGATAGATTAAAGAGAGAGAGAGAGAGAAGAGAGAGAGAGAGAGAGACGAAAAGGAGAGAGAGAGACAGAGAGAAAGAGAGAAAAAGAAGAGAGAATGGAGAGAGAACATGTAGT